TATATATATATATATGTATATATATATGTATATATATATATATATATGAATATTTGTGTGTGCATGCCAAGAAGAGTTCACCCCCTTGTAGTGCAGGTAGGGGACAACGGTGTACCCGTGTGTATAGATATTATCCTACTACCACATAAAATTGTGATATTTAGATCACTAACCATTGTGTCGATGTGAGAATATAAAATATTGGCGAGTATGCGCCTTTCGACCTCAGACAATCGTGTAAATTAGATCACAGATTGTTATGCCGACGGGAAAATATCGATCAGCAGTATGTTAGGTTTTGTTTTGACGATACTTCTAAGACAAATGTGAATGTTAATAGCATGAAAAAAAAGTAAAGTTAAAGATTATACCTTGAAGAGTACAATTAAATGTAATGCACATCAAAGTGTAAGTTTATTCTGTTAAATAAATGCAATGAACACATACATTAGATTATTACATAATTTTTATAGAAATATGAAAAATCACCATGCATATTGTTTCTTTTCCTTGGTTTGATGTAGTTTAGAAGTATGATTGCTCCCGTGTTATCTCATATAACTTATTATATTGTTTTAAAAAAAATTCAGGTTTAAGCATCTAAATAAGAAGAATACTGAGAAGCTAACGTGTACCAAAAAAGTGGTCAACAACTAGAAAGCTAACTTTTATTTGCTAATTAACATATTTATTTTAGTGGCTCTTTCAATTATTTTTTTAATATTAAACTATTAGTGATAAAATTAAAAATATAGAAAACTTAATTCCACTGTCTGTCACTTGTTCTCGCCTTATTTAATTTCAAGCCCCGGGTCAAGTCGTGATATTAACCTCTAAGAATTTCAATACTATAAGCTCAACGGGGTGGTGTATGCATTAAATCAACCATTGGTTAAATCACTCACACAAATATTTAGGGGCAACGTGTAAAGAAATAAAACTTTTGTAATAAAAAGGAAATTCACTTATCATAAAGGTTCCTTCTCACAGCCTCTGATGAGGCAACTTACATTCAAAGCCAAACCCTTGGGCCATAGAAAGGTACTACATTTCTCTACATCAAGGCAAGGTCAACCTCTCCTTAGCCAGTGGGAATGGTCTAGTTTTGGTGTCCAATAGCCAACTCCAAAAAAAAAATGAAAAATGGCTTTCTAATTCGTGCCACTATTTTCTCCAAATTAGTCGGTCGCTCATGGTTATGAGAATTAGATGCACCCATCCTAAAAGGATTTCATGAAGAAATATGGGAAAAGAAGTTGACACTCCATGGAACCTCTGCCCTCATTTACAAAATCATGGTGAAGATATTCACAAAAGAGTTTTGGATGACATTAGAGAGAAGGAGCCCACAAAAGTTTAAGATATTGACAATCTCCAAACACACAAGAAAATCGCTAACCCGATCAAGTTAAGTCCAAAAAGAAACACAATACATTACGCAAAGAGTTGGAAACTATCCATTCTTTGGAATTCGCACTGAAAAACTCACTTCTTTGAAACAACGCCTCAGATGCTCCAAATTAGATTGTAGCAAAGTAATGTTGGAAAGCTGGATAGACTCCGCTTCTATAAATGCCTTTTAGCATTTTGCAAGCAAAACTGTCATAACTAGATATGCTCAATGTAGTGAACAAAAATCTATGAGTGAAGAAAGGGAAAAAATCTATGAGTGGAGAGAGAGAATGACACAACACAAATGAAAGTTGTAAAGTTATTATGAGAGAGAAAAAAGATTATTTGTAAAAAAAGAGGATTCTTGGGACATCCACATAAACGTAAGAAAATCATATTTTAAATAAAATTACTTTTTCGTCATCACAATTAGGGTACCCTCACTCGCTTCCCTATGATACCGAAGTCAGTGAGTCCAAATAAAAAAACAAATGACACAGAAAGCACTAAGAATAACACATGAACAAAAGGACAAAAATTGCAATAAAAATAGTCACTTAAAGGCACACACAAAAAGGTTATTAAAAAACTATTATATTAATGAAACCACATTTCCTCACCGCCAAGAAAAACAAACGAAGATGATCAAATAAAATATTATGGGAATTGCACCACTATTCACAAATCGTAAAATAAAACCACCACATGGTAAAACTTGCTCGACTTTCAAGAAACATCCCAGTCATAATTTTAACCTTTTGATTTTAGACCTCTAGGTCAATAAAATTAGCTACATTATCAAGGGCCGCAAAAAAAAAAAAGAGCCCTCTCAAAAAAGGCGAGCTTCTTCTTCTCATCCTAAACATTGGAGGCAATAATAATGAGTAGATCCCATAAAGCACACACTTGATTTTGTTTGGAGACCAAAGAGGATCTCAATTAGGCAAGTTGCCAACAAACCCTCAACATGAGCTACTAGACGTGCCCATTCCTAGCCTATATGAGATATAGAACAGTGGACTACTAAAGACAAAGTCTCATTTCTCAAAACTATGTTTTTTATTAGGCAACATAAAAAGCTTGTTCTTGTCATGTGCATCCACCAAAATGATCATAATAGCCTCACTTATAGCTTTAGCGGCCTAATCATTCCTAGGTGGCACACATGCCTCCATACTGAAATCGCGCATACATCATTGAAAATCAAGAACTAGAAACTCTCTACTTAGAAAATTGTCGAGAGTAACCCAGACAAGGTGCCAACAAAAACCCTTAATTTAGAGTCAAGGGTCAGAGGTCAAACCTACAATAGTTGTAGCCTCAAACTAGACTAGACCAACCCAGAAATTCTCTCAGGATCAAATTAACAATAAATTAGCTAAGAATGATAAACATGACTCTTTAAACTAACTCTTTCCTACAACGGGTTTTTCTCAATCCTATGTAAATGATAGATCAAAGCTATAATTTCCAATGTATATGTTTTAAGAGGCAGGATTACCTAAGTTGGAGCTGCCACTTGAGCTAATGAATCGATCATTTGACTAGCCGCAATAGCAATCAGAATGGAGCAGCCCATAAGCATTTGCACAAAGGAAATTCACCATCGCACGAGTATGGTCTTCCGCCTTCCTTAATATCTTCTCTTATTGACCACTGGATGACGACAAGATGACCACTCCTTTTGCTAACCCTGCTTATGATTGTGATGAATGCTTCGAAACAATTCAAAGTTAGAAATGCCCGCCACTTCCCTTATAGACAGACGCCTAGGCTATTTGGAGGTAAGGAAAATTTATTCAGCCACTATGACAAAGGAAGGCAAAAAAAAGATCAAGCCCCAAATCCGATGCAGAAATTCATTTAGACTATCAGCATTGTTGATGTATGTAGTGGTCAAATCAAAGTCATTATTAAAACATAAAATGGGCATGGTTCCTAACACAAGATTAAATAAGCCTTGAAATCTATTTTTTCACTATACTTGTTCATTGAAGTTAATAAATGACAAACTCCATTCTCTTCTTCTTTTTACATATCGCACTTCAAATGCACAAAAAATTAAGGAAATAAATGTATATTCCGAATGCAAATACAATGGTGTGCTCATCAAAAACTATGGCTCAAGAAGAATCACTCACCAAGGCCAAAGGACAACCGAAACCTAAAAAGTACTCACTTGAGCTTTAGGGACACTCTTGGAAAGCCAAACTGCACTCAACAAAAACTACAACAAACTCTCTAGAGTTGCTCACACCAACTCAAGGAATCACTCTCGATTATGGGAAATGTGTGCCCCAACTTGAGAGACCACTTGTCCAGTGAAAAAAAGCTATTCTCCCATGCTCATACGGAACTGGTCACTTCATTGACAAATTAGCATCCCCTTCTAAACGCTAGTGATCTCATCAAACCGATCAGCAAATCCATTCAATCACTTGCATATGAATCCATCCATAATTACTCACCAAAAGTCTATCATTGTCCTCATGTCTGTAAAGGCCCTAAAAGAATTTTTGTCATTTTAGTTCTCCAAATATTGTCGTCCATTGTTGAAGATAAGGTGAATGAAATGATGTTTTCATTCTCATTAAATATCAATCTAGGAATCCTTCCTAGGATTGGAAGCATGATGCAATCCATCTCTTATAGGGATCCATGTGAAAGGAGTCAAAGTGATCCCTCCTACTAGGTTCCCACGATTTCCCCCAGATGGACTGCTTTTTCTTGCCTTTCACAGCAACCTACTACCTTCTTGAGCATCTGCACCGTTAAGAAAGACTCAGCATACCTTACAACTCTATACATTAAGAAGTCTTAACTAATACCACAACGAAGCAAACAGATCATTATATTTGTAATAGTGCTGGCAACCAAAAATAAGTGTTAGTATTCAAATGACACTAAATTAAGTTACCAAAATAAAAATTAAAAATTAATCAGATGCACAAATGTAGCGGTCACTTACAATAGCAATGTTGTTTCCATTCAGTAATATTTGGTCAAGTTTGGTTATCCTCCGCCCTTCAGAAGTTATTTCACTGGAATGGCAAAAATACAATGAATGGAAATCATTTAGCGCAATCAAAATAGATACACTAAAAAATAAAAATACATGAACAGCATTTGATGCCACAAATAACAAAACGTGCTGATTGAGATAAACTGTGCACTAATTGGGACAACAGGAGCATAAACTTGTTAAACACAAGGTAAACCCAAAAAAAATAGTGCCTTATTGGTTGAGTAGGAACTTAAAACACGATCCAGTATCTTGGTATTGCAGAGGGATTGTATCCATGAATCAAGCCCAGGATCTCCATTTCACAATAGAGATAACTAAACATTTGATACCGGAGTTTATAAAGTAAATTTGGCTACTTCAAAAAGGCGGATTTATGTCGAGAAGCCTATTTTGAGGTAAGAATATTCCTTTTTGGGCTTAGTTACTTTATGAGCCGAAAATGTATAAAATGCTAAAATCTTTAAGATTCCAGATTGTTTATCTGAGGCGACGAATTAAATACAAGCATGTAAAAGATCGTCATAGGACAGCTCCATAAATTTCATGTAAAGAATCCTATGTTAATTTAAAAAAAATAATTACATTTACGGAAATCAATTAATCTTAAAGTTTAATATGATGTTTTATTGGTTATTGAGCTCAATATAAAAGTTATCGTAACCTCCAGCTACTTATCTGAATTAAAGCTTTAGTGTAACAACCGAGGTGAATAATATATTTCAAAGTTTCAATACTCGTTTTTATTTCAAAATATATGTTGATTTAATGTTTTCTTTAATTCAATAAGATTTATATTGCAACAGATTCTTCATATTGTTAGATAGAAAATTTATGTATGACTGAATAGTTACAAAAGATGTACATGCATGAAAGACATGCATGAGATGAATGATATTTAGATAGACATTATATATCAGATAGACATGTAAAATAGGCATATAGAAAAGATATGCATGCTAGATATATGAATGATATAAGAGATATACATGATTAATAGTTGCACAACAGAGAAGTTTGCATGTTACTAGATTGCATAGAAATATTTCAGAATAATGTGTTATGAAGAACAAAATAGCTTATATATCAATGCTTGTATGTGCATGTTCAGATGCGGATTTCACCCCCTAATGGTACAGGCAGGAGACACCAATGTACTTGTGTGCCTAGAGTTTTTCTACCACCCTAGATAATTGTGATGGTTCGATTACTAACTGATGTGCCGATAAGAAAATATTGGTCAGGGGCAGATAAGAGTCTTTCCACCTTAGAATTGTGATGTGTAGATCGCTAACTGCTGTGCCGACCGGACAATATTGGTCGGTGTTAGGTTGTTGACAATGATCCTCACAGAGATAGAAATGTATATAAAGAATATAAAGTAAAGTAAATTTAAGATAAATACATATAGAAAATTAGTGTATGTTCATTTAGAAAAAATGTTATTGATACATGCATTAGTATATATCAGATTGCTTATAAAATTATGAAAGACCAACATATTATAAGATTTCTCATAGACTAGCATACATATTGTACTTTTTTCTTGAATTATTGTAGGTTAGAAGTGTGATTACTCATGAGTTATTTTTAAAAAAATCATTATGTTGTTTCCATATTATTTTTTAGGTTTTAAATATTTGAACAAGTTGAATAGGAGATAAGCAAATATATACAGGAGGCAAAAACAATAATAAAAAAGGTATAAATTTCTACTTGTTAATTTTAATTGCTTTATTTAATGGTTCTTCATGTATTATTTGAATATTAAATTGTTAGTGATAGAATTAGAAAAGCAGTGAATTGATTTTCACCGTCCGACCGTCCGTTCCAGTCTTGATTAACTCCAAGCCCCATCGTTTCCTCTCCCTTCTGATCGGCTGACCGACTCCTCATTTCCTCTTCTTCAATTTCTCTCGAGTGTTCAATTCTTCGATTCCTCTCCTTTGGTTAGACAAAACAAAGTGCCACAAATTTGTTTATATTTTCTTTTGGTGAATTTTTAACTTAAATTCTTTTTTTATTTTTAGCTGAGTCAGATGTATAACTCACTTCTAATGAAATAGGATTCCTAAAAGTCCTCACACTCTTAAAGGGAGCAATGAGAATGAAGGGGGAGTAAGAAAGAGAGGGAGCCCTGAGGGAGTGGCATGTCAATCCTTAGCTCTTATCCATTTGAAAAGGAGGTCCAGTCAACATCGAGAAGAAGACCGCTTCCCCAATCAAGATTTCAATAGAGCAATCCCTACAACAAAGATGACCTCATCCCAAAAGGTGGGTAGTGCTACAAAATCAAGGCCTAAGAGGTGGCTAGCTACGACGGTCATCAGCAAAGACATGGCAACAAGTGTCGTCAAAAGTAGTAGGAAAAGGAATCAAAGATGACCCCACAAAAAAGAAAAGGTATTATAGGGCAACTCAAAAGGAGGGAAAAGTTTGCCCTAGAGATTCAAAGAAGTCGGCCTTCAAATACTACGAGGAGATGAACATTGGGAGGATTGATTACAACGTTGAATCTTGCTCATCGATAAATCACTTTGCTCTGCTCGACATGGGCCAGCCATATTCTATGAGACATTTGACAAAGAGAACACTGTACTTCTTAAGCGCAACTTGCATCTGGAGACCATGAGGGTGCGAACCATCCATGAGCAATATATAAGCTCGTTAGAGTAAGTATGGCAAGCAGTTATAGATGGTTAAGAAGATGAGTCGAGAAAAATATTAAGAACAGTAAGTCTATGAGAAAGTAGATGTTGGCTTATGAAACGCTTGAAGGCGAAAAAGAACTTTCGAAGAATAAAATCGATCTAATTGAACTTTTATCTGAGAAGGATGTAGCCATTACCAAAAACTGTCGAATCATGGATTCAACCTTTTAAGAAGCAACTAAAGTTGACACTAAAAGAAATGAAGCCATTTGGAAGGAACTAATCAATAGAAAAACCATTGACAAGTCCATGAGTTCAATAAACCAAAATCCTAAATGCCTTGAAGTTTAGGCTCATTATTAAGAGGCTGGTATGTTTTTGCCTAGAACAATTGGCAGCTAAGAAGATTATCCTGAAAGCTCTCAAGAACTAGAATGGCTTTTATGGGACAACCAGGCATGTAGAAAAATCGAACAAGAAGGGTACCTCATAATTTTCTTCTCTTTTTTTTGTTCATTTACATTTGGCTCTCTGTAAAGAAAAGCATGATTGAAAAAACTTTTACCTTAATTGCCTTCATATGCTTTTATTTTTGTTATTTTCTTTTGAACTATTAAGTTGGGTTCGCTTATTAAGTATAAAACTATAAGAGTAAAGACTAAAAGTAAGACTTTAGCATGTTATAGATGAAAATTTTCAAGTTTTAAAGTCAGTCAATGTAGTTGAATAGGCATTAAAACAGCAAAAAGACTTTTAGGCCGATTAAAATATATAGTCTTTAAAAGACTCATACGAGCACAGAGAGATTTCAACCTCAACCAGTGAATAGGCTCTTAGCGAAGAGGCTTTTAGGCCAAATAAGAAGGTTCTCATCCTGTAAGTGGCCTTTTAGGACAAATTGAGAACTTTCGGTCTCATGGGTGAGTTACTCAAAATACTAATGAAGTGGCTTTTTTGGCAAGTTGGCACACAGGTGAGATACCTCTTTCAACTAGCCAAGGTAGCTACATGCTTTCATATGCTAGATTAGATCCTTTGAAGCCGAACCAACTACTTCAGCCAATTAAGCTCATTGTAATGATTAATGTCGTTCAACAAAATGTTACTCTTCCCCTTTCATATACGTATCTCCCCAAAAAGTCATCGCCTCTAATGGACCTCATCTTGAGAGTCGCAACTTAAACTCACCAGAGAGTGGACCATGCAAACTATTCATTACGGATCTTATCATAGCACAGAGTGTTCGACTCTAAGGTTGCGACCCACTTGAGAACGATACATGGAGATCAGCGACTTTAATGATTGAGTTTAAGGTCAAGTCATTGGCTAATTCTCGAGGGGGTATATGTGACATCAGAGAGAAGTTTCATTAGTTGATATAGCAATCAGTGTTATTTTTTGCATTTTCTTTTGGACATGAGGATTATCTTTTCTTGAATCCATTAGATATTCTTTATTTCCATATGTAATGGCTCGAGACTAGAAAAGGAGTATGAAGATCTTGCTAAGTACGAATTTTCTTTCATTTAATAATCATAGCTCTTATTCGGTGAGTAGTCATTGTAACTTTTTAGTTTTACTAAATTAATATCTCATGGCCTTCAATCCCTGAGTTGCCATCTAAGTCCTTGGCTAATCATGTCTTAATTAAATAAAAAGTTTTTCCAGTGTTACTGAGTGTAGAGTAAAACAAAGAGCCTATAAGACTAACAAGGTCCGACAACCATTTTCCACTAACAACTTCAACCTTTTTTTCTCAAAAGGTTCAGGGTTCATTTATTCTCCACTTGTACTTTGGTTGTTTGTCTTCAAACGGTGCACCGAAACAAAAATTGAGAAGAATCACTTTGCTCAGTATGAAATCTTTGAGCAACTTATATGAAAATAGAGAATCATTGTAAGTGATATTGCATGTGGTACTTCATAACAATAATTACGAAAGACTTCCATGATATCTTGGCAAACTTCTTTGACTCTATCCAATTTATGAAATAGTTAATCAAGACTACGATGAACTTCCTTTACCCCTTCACAAAGAGAATGAGCTAAGTTCAAATTCCAAACAACAAATATCCATGGACTTGAAATTGGTTGCAGTTTACACAACATTTTAAAATGCATAGGAGCAAACTCATAACTATAGGCACCTATTAGAGAAATCCTTCACATCTTGACAAATGGTTGGTCAAAAATATCAATGTCTTAGTATTGCCAAGCTCAGCACCCATGTGACTAAAACAATTATCTGAATAAACTTATTCTAGTAATCGACTGACTTTGCTCTCTTGTACACACCTTAAAAATGATAAAGTGATAAACTTCTTGTACAGCTTGTCATTTATTAGTATTCGCTCTTCAGGTATTATGG